CAGACAGACAGACAGACAGACAGACAGACAGACAGACAGACAGACAGACAGACAGCCAGCCAAAGAGACAGCCAGCCAGCCAGTCAGACAGACGGACAGGTAGAGCACGCGAGCGGGTTAATAATTCCATCTAGTCCGAAAAAAAAAAAAGAAAACATGCCCTTACGTTGCGTTCCCAGGGACTTGCATCGTACGTGCGTGCGTGTAGTTTTAATACTGTCGTACCGACTCGGTCCGTCCCGATAGCACTGTCAAAGGGTCATGACGGACTTCGGACGGGGTCACTAGAGGCGGTAGCAAGGGGTTCCTTTGTATACCAGATTAAAAAAAGGTGCAGCTTATATGAAAATTACTGTACGTTGGAGGCTTTAGATTCAAATTCAGATTCGTATTATTATAATTAAATCACTCTTCGGGGCAGTCCAGGGTAGTCCGGGGCACAGAGTGACCCGCCCGACCAGAAAACGACTCGACCCGACCCGGTCGCGCTATTGTATCAGCATCTTATGTCAGAGTATGCAGTGGTAAAGGCTAGACTCTTTGCTGTTGTGCACTGAAGACATGAGTTCGGTTCTAGCTTTGAGTCTTTATAATTATTATGAAAAAATGCGTTGGGTATTTTACGGTAATCCACTTAGCTTGGGTTAGCCTGGACAGGCATGGTTGAAGCAGTCCACCCTCTTTTTTTTAAACTTTTTTAAAATGATTTAAATTGTGTACATGGATGATTTAACAATTACAAGAAAAACAAAAAAAAATCACAATTTTAAATTATTTCATCCCAAACACATGGATGTGGGTACCTGATATATAATTAGATGTATTTTCATGAATCCACGACTTTCAACGGCAGCCACATTCTGTACTAACTTAATCCGTCCCTTACTTATAGTATGGAACCCCAAACCAAAAACTCCGGTATTAACCCTTCGAATTTGTGCCCTCTCCCCCATAAGCTACAGGACTCTTTAATTAACCCTTTGAGTCCTCGTCCCCCATAGAGTAGACCACTCACTGGACCAGTATTAACCCTAAGACTTAGAAAGTTGAAGCCCTTGCCCCCTGAGCCCACATGACTCCTGCATTAACCCTTTGAGCCCTCGTCATCCCTAAGCCACAGGACTCCTGTATTAACCCTTAGAACCCCCCCCCCCTCACACCATAAATAAGCCCCCAGGGCCCCAGCATTAACCCTTTGAGTTTGAGCTCTGGCCCCATACAGGACGACCCCTGCAGCTAACCTCGTAACAGGGTGCTACTGCGCTGATAGCTCAGTTTGTACCCAAATCACTTTGAAATAGGCAGAGTGGGTGTACCTGGTTCGAATCTCTAATGGGTTGTCCTTATATACTGGTATTATACGTTGTTAAACTCATACCACAATATGCCCCTTTGCACATGTAAGAAACAATCTGTAAGTTTAGACTTCAAATAGCAAGAACACAATTAACAAAGGCCAATAATTTTAAACACAACCATTTTATTCAATGAAAAATCAGTCATCTGTAATATAAGCAAAAGAAAGTTTTTAAGTTCAGTTCAAATATGAAAAGAACCATTACAGTTTATAGTATTTAAATTTAAAAGGTATTGGTATACATGTAAACGGTAAATGCAAAATAACAGTAGAATTTGTTCACAACCTCTGTACAGGTGGCTGGAAAGGGAGGGGTGATGGGGGAGGACCAGGGGGACATAATATGAGAAAGGGATGGAATTAAAGGGAATGACATACACAGCAATGTATTATTGACAAGAATGATCAAGACATATTGAGCTGCTTGAGAGAGATAATGAATAAAAACATAGGCACATGTCTTTTGCCATCCAAAGCAGATAAAATGCACAACAGCATAAAAAGTAGAAAAGAACATTTGTCATTTGGCTAGAATCACTGATAAAGGCTCAAAAACAATTATTTTTTTTCATACATGATGTGACAGGTCAGTGTTTAATTTTAATTATCTAGGCTAAAGTAAATCTTAATTAGAAATTCTTTTCTTGTAACAAACACTACACGACTTATGAATCCTACTGGGATTTTAGCCCAACATAGATCTGAAGAGAATTTGGATAGCTGTGATAAATTTAGAGCACAAAAATTAAATAGAACAATAATTTAACTCTGTCTTTGGAGACGTAATACTGCTGACAAAGACCAAAAAAAAATTATGACCTTAACAGAAGCGATAGGTGATACATCCTCCTTAAACCTTCCTTTGCCTGGTGTAATTTAAAATACTACGAAAAGAGCCTAAGACAGTCTCTGGACAGGGTAGTAAAGGATTAAGTTGGATCTTCTATGGCACAGACAATATAGCCTACCATTCTCATGGAAACTGTTAAAACCAGGTAAACAAGTTAAAGAAGACATGCATATTATACAGATTTCTGGTGACATAAGGCTGAAATTATGTTAGTCCTCACAAGACAATGTGATCTGATAGGTAAAGCAAGTAAAGTAGAAATAGTTTTAATGTTTTATACTACAACCTGATACAAAATTCTGGATACTGCCATTCACAAACTTTTCTGTCTTCTCCTCTTTCTCCTTCTTCCTCTTTTTTTTTCCTTCCCTTCTCTTCCTCTTCTTCTACTTCACTTGTCTTTTTGCAACGGAAGCTAATGGAAAGCTTTACATCCTTAGCCAATCACATATCAGCCTTGTACAGTACACTGTTTTTATAGAGTCATGCACAGATAATACGAACATGGCAAAATTCTAAATCACGGATTGTGCGTACAATTTGCCAATCCCCAACTGATGTCTTCTCAGTTTTTCGCCGAACAGTTTACTCAAATTTTGAGTGTGGCGTATAAATTTGTCAATCCAAGATATGTTTAAGTGTCCAACTGTAATTCATTGTGAACATTAAGATGAGAATGTCCGTGCACTTGTAATAAATTGGTGGATGCAGTTTAAATAAAACAACATGAAGTTTGGAATATATCCAAGCTAGTGAGAAGAAAAAAAAGAAACAGACTCTAAGGTTGAAATGAATGCTCATGGATGAACTGAAACGAAATCAAACGAAAATATCAGTTAAGCATCTTAAGCACATGATGACTTGCACGAAGACAAGGCCAATCGAACATGACCTGTAAAAATGAAATATTAGATTAGAGGCACAAATGGAAAGAAGAAGAAAGGTAAATTGTAATAGACTTAAGTAAAGAGATGTGTATCCCTCAAGGAAAGTTCACACGACTGACTTCACAGTGACTCCCATAGCCTGCTTGCGATTCAAAAAGTGTGCTGGTGGCTACCGTTTTATTAAATCAGTCTCTTCATAGGACATGCAGCACTGCTGCCACATCTACTAGAATACCATTATCAATCAACGAACAAAAAAAATGTTCAGTACACACTCCCTAACATAACACACAAAGTGGAACTTGGGATAAAAAAAAAAAAGATAGTTGGATGTAAAGCGAAAGAGGCATAGGCTTAGTGTCATTTCAAGTCATATGCCTGTTCTGGTCTATATGGCAAGGCATAGAGAAACTCAAAGAAGAGAAAAGTCTCTTGTTAGGCACTGGGTGCTGTGTTGTTTGAAGACAGTACCATATCTCATGACAAAATTCTGTCAACCTTTACAAAGCCAACACAGAGACAATAATAACTTGATTAACTCAGAAGGCATTTAGCCACCAGCCTAAATGAGACTTGTAACTCTGAGGGGAACTATAAAACTACCATTAACTGCAAAAAAATATATAGATTGACCTCTTTATTTTGACCTGTTTTTTAAAGAAAATCATAACACTTTCCCTCTTTGAAAGAATTGAAATAATACAAAAGAAGATAATTCATTCAAGTTTAATGCACATACCTCATTTTGACAAAGAGGCGAGAAAACAATTTGAGCTATGTACATGGAATGTGCTGTAGGAAAAAAAACTGAGATGTGTCTCAGCTCAAACATCTGTCCTGAAAACATTCTTCAGAACCCCAAAACAATGCCATCAAGTTTTCTAAATATGGTAATTGCAATTGCTTTCCTGTGTCCATAGACACAATTTAGATAATATACAAGGCAGGCTGCTTCTGCCCTGCCTGTTAGGGCCACAAGCTGAAAGGGACATTACATCCCAGAAGACGGAGAAGCAAGATAAAAAAAAATCCTACTCTTATGGGAATTGAATTCATGACTTTTGTGTTCAACAGTATATGGTTAAAACACAACTAATTGACACTTGTAACATGTCGGCAGAAATTTTGCATTGTATACCTGATGTTCCTAAGGAAAAGACAATTAAATGCAAACGAATCTGAAAAAGACCAACTCACAGCTGTGTTCAAGACAACCATGGTTTCATATATATTTTTACGGAGTTGTATTTTAAAAGTTAAAGCGGCAAACAAAATAAAAGTTTCACTGCTTCTTTGGTGCAACAACCTCTAGAACTTTGGCAGATGAAATTAAGTTTGCCCCTTTGACTTTCTACAAGACAACAAAATAAATGTACAAATGTATAATTACTTCTGAGAAATACCCATGAGTTAAGAAGTAAGTAATGACTTTAAAACTCCAAAGGAGTAGATCTACCTTTTTTGAGCTTCAAAACTCAAAACTCACAGAAATTATGCAGGCATAATCAAAGTTTTCATTAACACCATGGAAATGGTTCAGTTTAACTCCTCCCCTGCCAGACCTGCTTTATAATCTTACCAGCGAGCTTAGGTTTACTTTAAAAATATCGAGCAGGGCAGTGAAGGAGTTAATGTTAAAAAATTTGTCATTCAAAGTCAAATAAAATACATAATGATTTAATGACTAATTTGCTGCAGTGCACTATCATGTGTTCTGCATAACATTGGTACCTACAGATTAAGTACATGTAGAAAAATCTCTCCATTCATTTGACTCAGTATCTCAGAATCTTTCACACTTACAACTAATGCTGAGCTTGTGAAGAATATTTTAGTCATTCATAGGTTGGCTCGGAGTTGTCAATATGCAATGCAAGAAATGATACATAAAACTCTCTCTCTCTCTCTCTTTCCGCACGCATGCACACACACACACACACACATACAAGTATCAACAGAGTCAGTACTGGAATATTTGAACCAAGAACACTTTGACAAACTTTTCACTTTAAAAAAACCCAACATATTTCAAAAACCCAAAAGTACATAAGTGGACACTTGTGCAAGGATTTATAAAGACAGACTGTATTTATGACAGGATGGAAACTTCTTAAATAAGGCAACAAGAATTACCAAGTAACAATATAAAACAGCAGTACTAGCACACATTACATACATATTTGCTTCATCATCAACCAAATTCTTTTGTATCATAAAGTTCAAACCAGGAAGGGTCAACAAAGCGACTCCCACAAAAAAAAAAACATCTGTAAGATTACCCTCCCCCCTTTCAAACAATGTGACAGAGTGAACAATATTCAGGGCCACAATGGGGGTCAGGGTGGTGTAGCAGTCATATCTAACGAGAACTGGAAACAGCTGGCTGTGATAGTCAGATGTGCAAAGATGAGGAGGTGTATAAACTTAACTTTTATTTAAACTTTTTCTAGAGGTGCATAACTGTGGGTTTCACAACAGCCATAGCGCCTGGCTGGCGACCATAGGACAGATTACTTTTTAGAGGTCTTTCAAAAGCAGAGTTGGTGGATTTGGAAGCTCTGCGTAGCTCTTCACTGTATTTATGAGAGTCGAAATTACTGCTGGTGATGTTGGGAGCATTTGTCATGCTATTTGCTGTGTTGCTAGAGACAATTTGTGGGTTGTAGAATTGATGATGATGATGGTACTGAGAGGAAGAGGATGGGGAGGTGGAGGGGTGGGAAGAGAAATTTTGAGGAGGAGAATTATGTGTTTGAAAGTTGTGTTGTTGTTGTTGCTGTTGTTGGTGAGACTGTGGGTTGTTGAAACTCGAATGGGCAGTTGTGCTAGACTGGGTCTGTTGTGACTGAGGAGATACTGTGGCCATGTTCAACAAACCCTGGGAGGGGGGGCCCTGGTGGTTGTACTGATCTTGTTCAGGGCGGTTACTTGTTGATGACGACTGGGAAGTGGATTGTTGCTGCTGGGGCTGTTGAGAAGAAGAGGGTTGATCATAGTTTCTTTGCTGATCCTGCTGATGTGAAGGGTACTGAGGTTCAGGTTTGGGCAGGAAGGGAGATTGGTAGTTGGAGACATGGGATGAGGTGCTCGAGGACACTGGAGGGCTGGACAACATGCTGGCCTTACTGCTCCGGTGGTGACCTTGAGAAGACGGGGTGTGACCTTGGGATGAATTTCGACTGATATTTGACGGAGTATGGCCTTGAGAAGATGTCATTTTACCTTGGGATGATTGTGTATGTGGTGACTTCTTACTAGAACTGCTTCTACTATGTTCTGTTGGGACTCTATCGCTCGGAGTATGGCTCAGGTTGGATGTACCTGGGCTCGCTGTGTAAGACCCAATTTGACTACTTTTCCCTGATTTCTTATCCCCCGAGTCTCTGTGGTGACGATGGTGCTCCAGGTTTCCAGCGTTGATGATGTGATCTTGAGGAATTCCTTGCTGTAGCTGCTGCTGATGATGATGAGTCTGCTGGAAGAAATCTGGACTCTGGAAGTTCTGGCCGTGATGTCTGTGTCTGGAATGTGAGCCCCCAGTGCTATAGCTATCGGTGGTATAGCTCTGAGCCTGGTGCTGCGGCTGTTGTGAGCTAGTTCCATGTCTGCCAGAGGAGGACGTGCTAGGTGCTTGGACTAGGAATGGAGCCACAGTTTGTGACTGAGACTTCGACCCGTGCTGACCGCCTCCACCACCTCCATGTCTGTGGGATGAGGTGAGACCGCGGTTAAAATCATGCTGACTGGAGGGATCGGAGGTTGGATTGCCGTGTTTGTTAGACTTCCCGCTGGTTGACCCTGACTTGCTGCTTTCTCTCTCCGATGGTCCTGCTGAGGAGGTTTGATTCCCACTCCTGTCAACTCCTGCTCCTTGATTCTTTCGTCTGGCCACAGGAGTTGAAGTCATGGATGGAGGTTTGTCATCAATATCTAACAACCCTATGGGCATAATCTTTGATCCTGGCTTCTTCTCAAATCTGTCTATCAAGTTCCCCACAGACTGAGGAGGTCCGTTCTGAGGCTTACCCTGCTGGTGGTGATCTCGGGAGGAAGTTGGTGTGTGTTTGACTTCACAATTATCCTTCCTCGATGTTCGTCCATGTGTCCTGGACTGGCTACTTCCTGGACTTCCATGAGCTGACCATGTCATGCGATCATGACTACCAGTCTCCCGGTCCTTGTCTAAGACGCTGTGGGCACTGGCACTTCTCCTGGCTGGCGTTCTTCCTTGTTCAGGAGGCGTGACCTTTGAGGTGGGCTCCATCTGTAGTCTCCCATCAGGACTCACAACAAAGTGGGGACCGTTCTTGTTACTCTTAAACTCTTCTCCATGAGGGCTGCTGATTCTGTGGGAGAACTTTTTCTCTCCAGCGTGAGTATCATTCCTGTCGGAGAGGTTGCTTGGAAGGGCATTTGAGTCAGAGACGTTATTTACAGAAGGATTAGAACTAGCATGAGGGCCCTGAGATACAACAATTGGAGAGGCATGATAGTGAATGGGTTTGGGAGGCAGTACAGTGTAAGATGTAGGCATCCCTGGAATACTGTTTGTCTTGCCCCCGCTCAATTGCCCCACAGTCGGGTAAATCCCGCCACCAACAAATTGTTCACTTTTTTTCTGCAGCTCTTGTCGGTAGACATCAGAACTGTTAGACACTTGTGGCGCATGTCTTGCTGGAGCAGGGGCCTCAGCTTGACCTCTGACCCCACCCTCAATGCGGGGGTCTAACTTGGTCTGGTTTTCATAGTTAGGAATCAGTTTAGCCTTGTAAACAGGAACAGCACTTGCCTTAACCCACTTGGACTCAGAGCTGCTGGGACGAGGAGCCATGTTGTTGCCATGGTCACCCAACTGCCCCTCCCCATCATAAACATCAGGTACATCAGTCACCTCTCGGCGATCGATATTCGATATTGGTCCGTCAGTAAGTGCAGCCTCTGTGGCTTTCCCGTAAACGTCTGAGATACTCATATTGCTTCCCAGGGCGATCGGTGCACGCACCCTGGCTCTGCTACCTCTACTGGGCTTGCTCTGATCAGACTCAATGTTGTTGTTCAAATCATTCACCTGGCCAGCTTCTTTCTTGGGATACTTAACATGATCTGCCTGCCTCTCTGGTGTCTCTGCGTCTCTTGCACGGTTGCTAGGCAGAATATTTAGAGGGTATTTCTGAGACGTGTGATCCCGGAAACTGTGCACACTGCTGATAGTGGAGGGTAGGGAATCGTGACCATCTCTTATCCCAGAGTAGCCTGTAGCAGAGAAGTTCTCGGTCTCCCCAGATTTCTGTACAGGGTCCTCTCTTCTTCTCGGCTGACCTGGGTAGTAATAATTTTGATAGTTGACATGACTAGTTTTGTTGTCCTCATAATTAGACGATGACTGTTTGCTGCTGCTGTCTTTGTTAGACTCTTTCTGGGACGGTGTTTGGTCAATGTCTGCAGGTACAAGGCCTTTTGGAGGTTTTGGAGGGACCTCTCCCTGATGACTAGGAACTAGAGAGCTTGGAGCTTCGGTGGAAGATGACTTCTTAGACCCTGCATTTCCTGAGAGTTTCTGAACGAAAGTATTCCTCAGTTTGTTAAATGGAGTGGAGCCACTCTTGTGGGTGGATGAGTGTTGAGAAGAGGAATGGGGGCTTCCATCTTCCGAGTGACCTGCCTGGTGGGATCTTTTCTGATCTCTCTTCAAAAGAGTTTTGAAGAAGTTTGCGTTCTTTTTCTGAGCTACCTCAACATCTGGTGACACAGGACTGTTCAGAGTTGGGTAAGCCGTTGTGCTGGTGTTGCTACTGCTGGGGTAGATGGCATTGTCTGTCTCCTCTCTTAGGGGAGAGCTCAACTGGTTTGGGGGTTGGGGTTTGGACAGAGTTTCATAGGGAGGCTCAAAACCAAAGTTGTCATCGCTGTCTTCTCGCAAGATGGGGATCAGATTGGATGGCTGCACAAGTTGAATGACAGGGTTAGTGGGGGAGGGGGACGACATGGTGGGGCTGGTGTGGAGCAGGGGTTGAGGACGGATGACATTTGGAGGTGTGGCTTTGATGGGTTTGGGGGAAGATGAAACTTCAGGACGATTTGGTTCTTTGAAGGCACTAACATTGGAATGGATATGCTTGTTACTAGGATGTGAAGGCTCACTGTGTTGGTGTCTGTGTTCATGTTTGGAATCTTTATACAACTCCGAATTTGACTTCTCGTTTGGTGACATGGGAGGGGGGCCAGAAAGACTGTTGTAGTGAGATCCTGATTGGTGGATATGATCGTTCTTCGAGGCCTGAGGTCCAGACAGCGTGTTCTCTGGAAAATCCATTTGATGTTCCATCTCTGGCTGCATCTCCATGGCATAGCGTCCGACCGACTCTATCCAGGAGTTGATGTGCTGTAGCTGCTGTGCCTTACTGGCCCTCATGTCCTCGTCCTGTTGGAACGATGCCACGTGCCTCATCATCACTGACTTGAGGTTGTTGAAGCCGGGCAGGGAGGAGCAGGACTGGGGAGAGTAGAGGGGTCACAATGCTGATAACTCAAATAGAACTTCCTCATCTCTGTGTGGTGCAAGAACTTATGACAATTGTATTCAGTGGTAATGCAAAGAAAATTGGCTCTACTTAGTTGATCTGAGCTAGATAAAAAGTGCAAGAGGCTGGATCACTAGACAAAATCATGGAAAGGTTGTATTGAAATATACAATAAACATGTCCCAAGTTGAGTCTTTTAAAATATCCTTTTTGTTATTTTTTCACATTTTGAATTGTGTTTTGGCACTAAATAGAACAGATAAGAGAACAACATTTTTAGCTATTCACATTTTGGCAAGCACATTTTTGCTTTGCAGCACCACCAACACAAATATAGAGCTCCCTTTCTAGCTTTACAAAAGATCGCAAAGTACATGTATAATGGTCATGTAGAGTTAGAAAAGAGCAAGACAAACAGTAGCAAAAAATAGGAGCTAAAAACTATTGGGCATAGAAGTGGTGCCCCCTAACCCTCACCACAGTCTTTTTAAAAAAAATACTTTTAAAAAATTCCTTTTAAGGTGTTCAGTTGTCCTCTACAGCATCAGTGTGATTACAGGAACACATTTGGATAATAGTAAACACAGGAGCAGCAGAATACAGGAAAATGCTGACCATACTCAATCCACCTAAACATTTCGTCGCCTGTCACACGAAAGGGCGTATTCCAGATTTTGGCAGTTTTGAGTTGTTACTACTAGTAGATAGCGCTGCCTCGGATCTATGTTCACACGAAACGGCGTATACCTAGCTTTAAAATAACAGTACTAGCAGTAAAAAAACGAAAAGGGCGTACGCTAACACTCAACGCGACCGAATCAGACGAAACGGCGTACGCAGGCTTGCGCCCTTTCGTGTGCAAAAAATTGATACAAAGTTGTATCAAATCTATTCGCACGAAAGGACGTATACCTTGGTTACGCCCCTTCGTGTGAACGACCGTTACACTTTTGTCTTTTTTTTCTGGCATAGGCCAAGTCCGTATGACGTAATATAGTAATACTGGCCCTCCTCTAATGGTACAATAGGCCTGTACACAGCGCATGCACTGTGTTGCAGCGAATCCTGCTTGTGCAAGAGTGAAAACAAGACCCGCCTTATTGTGTTGTTCCAGTTGCTTACTGGTGCTTGCGGCTTGTTGTCACATACAACCTGTCTTTCAAACTGACCTGCTTACCTTCTGACGATTGGAAACCATTCGAAAAAGCAAACTTGGGTTTGATCAAATTTAAATAAGATCTACTTTTTGTCCGACGATTCACATGAATATTGCTAAGCTATATGTTCTTCCTTTAGCGTATTATGCTACACTCATTAACTAGAAGGCTACGCTATCTAGACACCCCCCTCCCCCACCCCCGGCAGCGCTACTGACTGAAGTGATAAAAGCATCAGGACTTTGCCTTTGTTATATTGATCTGAAGACATGTCTACAAAGTGAGCCCTGTCAGTAGCGCCAGAATCAACAAACACTGAATCCATAACGCACAATGATTTTGAGACCGATGAGACCCAGAGTAGCAACGAACGGCTACCAGAATTATTTGAAGTTGAAGGATCAGCCCGCCAAGCGTCACCAAAGACACGGAAGAGAATCAACAAGAAGAACGATGCAAAAAGAAAGCGACAGTCTGGCGAAGAGTACGTGAGCGCCGGCACGAAAAAGGTTGTTCAAGCACGAATGATGAGAAAGGGCTGCGTTGGAATGGGAATGTACGAGAGCTGGCCGTCAGTGTTCTGGAATCACAGAAACGGATAGGAGGGAGATATTTCAGGACTTTTATAAACTGGCTGACCTGCAGAAGGAGAGAGAGTTCGTTGCGAGGCATATTGAGACGACTGAGCCCAAGGTCGGGAAACCAAACTCTCGACGCATCAAAACGCATGCTTATTACCTCACAGTCAATGGAAAGCGCTTGAAAGTGTGTAGAAACACATTCCTTGCAACCTTGAGTATTTCAGAGAAATTTGTCCGAGTTGTTTTATCAAAGAATACGGAGACTGGCGTTTTGGAAGAAGACAAGCGAGGGGGCAGACAATCGGAGCAGATGAAGACAAGAGAAGAACAAAACAGGGATAAAATCAGTCGACACATTGACAGATTTTCACGCGTGGAATCACACTACTGTAGGGCCTCTTCCAGCAAAGAGTATCTCAGCCCAGACCTCACATTGTCCAAAATGTACGACATGTACGTGAAAGAAAACTCATGCAATGACATCCCAAGTTTTCATACATACAGACGAGTGTTCAAGACGAAAAGCCTGGCCTTTCATAGTCCTAAAAAGGACCAATGCTCACTCTGCAACTCTTTCCGAAAAGGGGACGAAGCTCAGAAAAATGAACTCAGGGAAATTTACAACAGGCACGAAGCAGAAAAACAAAAGGTGCGACAACTTAAGGAGGATTGCAAGAAGATGGCTCAAGCTGACCACAGCATTCTGGCAGGGAACTTTGATCTCCAACAGGTCATATACTTGCCAATTTCACATGAAGATGCTTTGTTCTACAAGAGGAGACTTTCCAATTTCAATTTGACGTTTTATAATTTGGGTGACCACACATGTGATTGCTTCATTTGGCACGAAGGCCAAAGCAGAAGGGGCAGCTCAGAGATATCAACTGCGGTGTGCAGGGCACTGAGGGAATATGACCAAAGAGGCATCAAGACTGCCTACTTGTTCGCCGATGGCTGCCCGGGACAAACTAAAAACACAATCATGCCCACCTTGATGCTCCACATGATCAACACTTCAGCACACATGGAGGAACTGTCACTCAGGTACTTTGAATCGTTCCATGGGCAGTGCGAAGGTGACTCAGCACACAGTGCTATAAGCACGGCCTTGGGAAATGCTGGGGATGTGTTTCTCCCATCACAGCTGTTTCCCATCATTGCATTGGCCCGACGCAAACAGCCATACAAGGTACACCCGCTTGAGCACGGTGACTTTCTAAACTACAAAAAACTGTCAGAAGATCTGAAAGTTCTCAACGTCCGCAAGGACAATGAGGATTCAGGTGTTCCCGTGAACTGGAACAAGGTCATGGAAGTGAGGGTGAACAAAGCCCACCCAACAACAATATTTTTAAAAAACCAGTCACCTGGAAGAGCAGTACAGGTCCATTTCGCTGAAGCGCCAACTTTCACACCTAATTCATTGTGAAGTTAAACAACTAAATGAAGAACCAAACCAAATTAGCAAGGAGAAATACAGCGATTTGATGTCTCTGTGCTCTGGGAACACACCCGTCATCCGGAATGCCGAGCACAAAGCTTTCTTCTGTCAACTACCACACAGCGAATGAGATGTCTCACAAAATTCAAGCTGAGAAATACAAACATGTTTGATCAAGGAGAGCCTACCAAAGCATGGTGGCATCCATCACTAATTTGTTTTTGTTTTTTAAATAATAGATTTGGAATTGGAACGAAAGGAAACTGCTTGTCTTTCTAAAACGTGATGCCAGTACCTGAGAGTATGTGTGTGTGTGTGTGTGTGTGTGTGTGTGTGTGTGTGTGTGTGTGTGTGTGCGCGTGTGTGCGTGCGTGTGTGTGTATATGTGTGTGTGTGTGTGAGTGTGTGTGTGTGAGAGAGAGAGAGAAAGATACAGACCGACTGACAGACAGACAGACAGACAGACAGACAGACAGACAGACGTTCGAACAGAGAGGTATGGGAAGGAAAAGAGAAAGGGGAAGATTTGGCGGGTGGATGGGGGAGTGAGGAGGAATTTTATCATCTACTCGTCAGTCTGAAGACTGAAATTACTTGTGTGAACACTCAAACACAGGGCGTATACATGGGCGTATGCACTGATTTAGGACAGGACGAAACGTCGAACAATCACACGAAAGGGCGTATGCTCACAGATGGCACATTTTCGCAGTGAAATTTTAAAAAAAAGTGCAAAACTAATCTTGCTGATTGTTTTATATCTTATCATGCACACAATATCCAAATATTGCGATGGTAGGATGCAAATTCCTATAATGACAAGGGAAAAGGATAAAGCAACCTAAGTCTGAAAATCTTTAAATCGTTCTCCTGAAAAAGTAAGAAAACAGGGATACGCCCTTTGGTGTGATAGACGACGATTTCTATATAAAGTCGAAATTGTCCAAGACGGTCATCCATTGTAATTATAATAATTATTATAAAGATAATTTTGGAAAATACACAAAGATCTAGGAGTACACAATTTCTCACCAATTGACTTTTTGTAGCGAGGTCTCCATTGAACTTAATCTTTGCCAGATTTCTGTGAGCGAGTTTCCAGTAATACTTGCAGTCATGAAGAAAAGAGGCCCAAATCTAAAGAAGGAAATATTTTGTACAACATTATGACAAAAGGCAAGAGTCAACTTAAAAAATTAACATTTTAATTAAAAAAATAAGGCCTTTCCAAACCTTTAAAAAATAACTACAAAAGAATTTTCTCCTCTGACAAATAAATATCAAGGTAAAATTATACAGGGATATTTAGTGTATTTTAGGAACTCATCTTTTGCACACAAAAAAATGAACAAAGTTTAAAACAACAGACACAGAGAGTAAACTACTTGGAGTGACAGATTTTCCAGTTCATTTCTTATTAGACCACCATAAAGTAAAGATGAGCTCATTTCTTGGAATCAAAATGATATAACAAAATGAAACTGTTGGCACACATTAAAGAGGTAAACAGACTGGAAAGAACTCCCCTCAAGATAGAGCCGTGTAAAATATCTCAAGATTTAATTGACTTGTAAATCTCAAATATTGTTTACAAAAACTGTACACTTTACTCTCCCAGTATAGCAGTGAAGTCAGTGCCGTAACTAAAATATTGCTCTGAGATTCACCCTTCAAGTGGTGGAGAAGGGGAGGGGGGGGGGGGGAGATGACGACGATTAATACCTGGAAAAAGTCATGAGGGGAAGTTCTCTGGCCATCAAGGCTGAAAAAGGCTGTGGTTTTCCAAAAGTGGCCTCTTGTGTCTTCTAGAAGTTTCTGCTCCTCAGCCAACATCTCCACAGCTGTTGGAAGAATCACATACCATGGATTTAGAGTTAAAGCAATGCCAGATAAATAATATATTTCAGTATCAAACAATGATGTGTACATAATATATTACTATTGAAATTGTCTATGATGGCAACCATTGTCAAGGAGAAAAGTGGAGGTCTTAGACAGATGGACGTCTTACAGTGTCATCATAATGTTTTGAAAAACGCCGGGGGATGGGGTATGGGGGGGGGTGGGGGGGGGGCACTCAATGAGAAGTGGCCGTTTGCACAGGTTATTTGTCTTATACTGGTGACTGTTAGAGAAAGTAGATTATATAATATATAACATATATGTATTAGTTTCAAACAATGCTTGTTTATAATATTATGATTAAGCCTTAAATAATGCCATATTACAAAATATATTTTAGTGAACATATCTTCTATCTCTATTGAAGACATGAAATGATTGATAAGAGTAGCCTACTTAAAACCATTTTCTCTAAAGTTTGCAAAATGAAAGATCAAACAACAGGAAGAGAGAAGGATTGAATAATCAAATAATTTAAAGAGCAAAAGGGAGAGAGAAAGAATGAATAGATAAAGGAAAATATTAACAAATTAAATATTGAAACAAATTTTTTTCACCTGATGTCATAAAGTTCTCGCTAGTGACTCTCAGAGCTATCGTTAGGTTGCTCCCTTCTCGTTTTGACAGATTCTCCAGCTGGGGATGGAAAATTGTTGGCATGGAGAAGAGGTGAAATTGTTGGGGGTTTTTCTGTCATTTAAAAAAAAAATTGAAAAAGATTTTACATCCACATTGACACAATTTCGATCATTTAAGAGAAAGGTTCCCAATCCTGGCTGTCAGGATAAACCGGCACTGAGGGGGCTACAACATCCGAGCAGAAAGACTGAGATACTTGATAAAATTTTCTCCCCACCCAGGAATCAAACCTGGGTCTCCTGCTTACAACAGCAAAGTGCCTAACTCTTGTAACTGCTACATCACAGATGCCAGCGGCATCTTTGCCTATTGATACAACCTAATTCACTTTAAAACATTACAAAAATCATCAGTCATTATTTTAGAGTGGCACAGTACAGTCACTCAGAGTGTAGACAGGAATACGTGGTGTACCAGTTAGGCTCTTCATCACAGCAGACAGAAGACATGAGTTAAGTTCCCTTGAGGGGAAAATTAATTTACCATCTCTGTCCCAGGAGCCCAGAATGACTGTAATGAGCTGGGTAGAAGCAGCCAGCTTTCTTGATGATGATATAAATTGTGTTAATGGGGTGTGTTGAACAATCTTGTGAATCACTGTCCCAACGCTTAAAATCTATCAAATTTCACAGTAAGGCAATTTCTAAATGCACTTTCTGTTCTTTCATCATTTAATATTATTCACACTTATTATTGGCTTCTCATTCAGCTTGGTAGTGGAAAAGTGTAAGAGGCGAGCTCTCCACATGCTAGCTAAACCAAAAATTTTTGGCAAAGTGTCCTACCTTGTTCCTAACGAGAGTCAACTCTTCCTTCAGCTCCACAAGAGCTCTCTGTATATCCTCAAATGAAACCTGGAACAAGAAACAGATACAAGAAAAAAATGAACAAAGACTCACTACTTCCAAGAAAAGCAAGGTGAAAGGCAGTTAAAAAAATTATTATTGATATGGCAGTGAAAGGCATTGGTTTTAAAATTTCAGGCCAATCCTATTTTAAGAGTTCCGGATATCTCACCTGTGCAGCATGCCTCATATTAGAGGGTTCTGGCAATCGGAATCTTTTCGGGCAGCCAAAGTCTGTGTCTGACTCAAACTTGAGGCAATAGATCTTCATGATCAGTTCCAACAGGTTACCTCGATGGCTCTGAGAGAGAAACAAACAACAAACATATTTTGATAAGGCATAAAAATATCTTCTTTATATTATATCAAGGTTAAGGCTCTACTATACCCAAGTTAGCATATCACAACTGTGATAATTCGACAGGGATAATTTTATGAGGCCTGATAATAAAGACCATAACTCTTTTAAAGACCAAGAGTGTAAAATTTGAATCCAAAACATATACTGTAAAATCATTTAATAGTGTAGTGAAAAATGACTTTACTTGAAAAAAAAAGTGGAAAGGGGGTGGAGTGGGGTGGGGGGGGGGGGGGGTTTGCAGGGCTTATTAGAGTGTTAATAAAGATATTGATTGCAACATACCTGCCCAAAATAAAAACAAATTTTAACTTGCCTGATCTTGCATATCTTTCAAAGAGTTCAAAATATCCAGTTTGAATCCATCTGCTTGTCCATTCTCTGTGCCACCATTCATGTGGTTTCCAACAGCTAACACTGTCTCCAGGACATGCTTCAGGGAAAGACTGAAGAGCAGAAAGACAGAAATGACTTTAGCCGACATTTGACTGAATAAAAAGATTTAATCTCTATTGTGACATTGGTAGTGATTAGGCTACTGGACTCTTAATGATGAGGTTATGGGTTCGGGGGTTCGAGCTTCACATGCCCGATGTTGTGTCCTTGGGAAAGGCACTTTATAAGGAATTTCTTCACTTCACTCTGGTGTGAATGGGTACCCATCCATAGACAGCAAAAGATCTTGTCAGTATGTTAGTGTTTTAGCACCTATAAAATGGCAGCTTGCACTGTATGCTTCCCAGGTAGTTGAAATATTTCAGAATCATATCAAGTCTGCTGGGGTAAATGCAGAGATAGTAAAGCCCATAGAACTTGAAATTGAGTGGGAATTCGCGCTACACAAAGGCTATCTCTTATTTTTATTATTATCATTATTATTATTATTATCATTATTATTATTCTCATCATTAACCTACAGAGGGCAAAGAAATGCTCTTTCACCTATAATCATTCAGACATTTGTGACATGGAGTGGCCAACTTGCACATAATTTTATTCTCAACAGAAAGCCAAAGCAGTTGTGTGTGTGGCACAGCAGCTAGCTTGGTTAAATAGGTAAGATACTAAAATACATTGAAATGCTCAGTTTCGCTTTGGACATTTCTCAACAAAATATTCTGCAGTCATGGGTGCTGCGTTCCAAGGGCAAGTCTCTCACTGGCCAATCCGAAGCTTAATGAAACAGCCAGAACACCTTTTATAAAAACTCACCTTGTGGTAATTTCTTCACAGGCTGTGTGAAGCTCTTTTAACTGCTGATCTGAAATTTTTTAAAAAGAAACAAGAACAGTTTTAAAAATTCACAGAATGATTTTTCCATGTCATGTAATGAACTATTTTGAGAAGCTACAATCTGCAAGGTAGATCTAGACCTTTCCACAAAAGTTGTGATATCTTTTCTAACATTTTATTAGAATAGTTCTGTCACAAACAAAAGACTTTTGTACATGTATACCTGAATGATTGATCGTTTACTTGAACTCAATGCAAACAGCATGTGACATAATTAACTGCATACAATTTGAGATGGAACTTGAGTAAAGAGGACAATATATGACACAACGACTACCATTTAGTGTAGGGAAAGAGTCAGATATAGATCTAGATCTAACACCGAGTTAGTGTCAACAAATTCACCATAAAACATTATTTACTCTCATATTTCATTATATCATGTATATACCCCGAGTTTGCCATACACTAGATCTTATTGTGCTATGTCTTTATGAGAAGAGAAGTGAGAGCATGAGAGACAGAGAGCTAATGTGAACCTGTTGATATGATTTTGTATTTTCTTCCAATTCCAAAGGAGGATCAATGAAGTATAATATCATATCTTATCACTTTGTAATGATTTTTCCAAAAGACCAAATGAAAGTTTTAAAACCACCTTGGACTAAAGAGCTTATCAACATTAAAAGTCTCACCAATTTCAAAGAGGTTTATCTGCAGTTTATTTTTAAAACGCAGAAATTCCAGCCTCTCTCTGAAGTGATCCACTTTCGAAAGCTCAAACACCAAAAACTCTGCTACATCCAGATGACCTGCAATAAAGAAGGAACAAAATAAGCAATGGAATAGAACTTATTCTTTGTTTGTTTAAGTAAGGAGGAGCACATTTACTTAATAATAATTATTTATCGCTGAAAAAAAAGCAAGACAGCACAGAGAAATAACATAGGACAGACAGACAGACAGACAGACAGGCAGGCAGGCAGGCAGGCAGGCAGGCAGGCAGGCAGGCAGGCAGGCAGGCAGGCAGGCAGACAGACAGACAGACAGACAGACAGACAGACAGACAGACAGACAGACAGACAGACAGACAGACAGACAGACAGACAGACAGAACAAAGGGAAGGAAAAGAAGTAGGACCTACTTGTGGTACAATCCAGCCACTCACCTAGCCACAAGCGTCAACATCTCGGAACAAAGACATTATACTTACACCAGGACAGCATCTACTATTTCACCCTAAGAAGCCTTTCACTTTCGAATTTCACTACACATATTATTCTTGTGTTTGTCCACAGAGTTGCCATGCTACACACACACAAAAAAGCTGATCTTAAACTCCACTTACTTGCTCCTTTTCTCTTGACATGGTGCAGAATTTTGTCCAGTTCTCTCTGGGAATTCAACAACTCCAACAGCTCTGCAAAGCTATCCGTGTGGAGATCATCGCTGTTCAGAGCCACAAAAGCTTGAACAACATCAGGGAGGGTGCAGTGAAGGACTTTGAGTTCTGATATGATCCGCTGTGATCTTTCGTTATCATAAATGGCAGTTGTCTGGGAGAAAAAATCCATAAAACATTTTTCACTAATAGGTAATCTTTAAAAAGTCAAGTGAAACAGATGTTTTTCCATACAAAAGTTATTTACTGTAATAAAATAACATACTTATATTTAAAAATTGAAAACAAGAGAAACTACAAAGACATAAGGAACTAACAATGCATACAAAACAGGTCACTAAAAATTTATACAGGCCTATATATAGTTTGAGCAAAATAAACATATTGCTTGTTGTTGATCGTTACAATACATGCATACACAATCATTCAAATTACAATCCTGAGATTTTCTTACCCCAATCACTAAACTGACAATACCTGGGATTTGCTACCCCAGTAATTACACTAATTGTACCTGAGATTTGGATCGTCCCCGCCTGAGACAGATGTCGTCATAGAGATTCACTTCCTCTGAGACGTTGCTAGCACCAGAAAATAATCTGGGGAAGACCAGACAAGACAATAACGCCAATGTAATGTCTAGGATACTCAGATGAAGATATGAAAATACACAAGCTTTTTTCGTTCTTTTTAGTTAAGGAGAAGCTCATCCACACAATAATGGTCATTAAGAGCTGGAAATACTCAAATCATACAGAAAAAAAGAGAAATAGATAATAGTAAGGAAGTAGGCCCAACCAGTGGAAAATACTGGAAAATACACAACAGAGACATTGGAAAGAGCTGGAAAAGTACTGCCATGAGATTTTTCAGTTTTCAGTTAGAAGTACCTAGACATGACAACAGTCATTAACTTCCAGGAAAAAGCAAGACAGACAGAAACAAAAATTGGAAATAGCTACTACCTGGAGTGCCCATCTTATGTATTCTTTTTATTCACAAGCCATCTTCATATCATAGGAATTGGCCTCTCTTTCACTATCTTCAGCCTGTCACATTTACAACACGCTGGTCTAGTCCATTGTGAAAAACCCTGTGGTACAGAAAGAGTTAATAGGAAATCTTCATTCTCCAAGAGCAGCCTTAATGAGCTCACCTTTCCAACTCATCAGTGTCAATCTTTGGCTCTGTCATTCCTTGCCACACTGTGTTGCTGTTCTCAGCACCTGAAAAGACAAACGGTTTTTGTTTAAGTACAGAGAAACCCATTGACAAAACAACTTTCATTATTTTTAGTGAAGGAAAGAAGCAACATAGAAAGACAGGAAAAATTGAGGGAAAGAAAAGAAGAACGACCTGTCAGCGGAATTCTTCAATGACCCGAAACACAAACAAGTACAAAAATAATTGTAAGACCATAGCGACAAACTGAGGACTTAAAGTCTCCTGCAATGACAGTTAGGTACTAACTGCAAATAACTTAAGCTTACATTAAATCAAAAACATAATCTATGAAACTGGCTACTTTGCCCCTGTCTGTTAAAGCCTATCTTGCTGAATGGGATATCCTAGCAGGGGGATGCAGATACTCGATAAAGTGACTCCCCCACTTGGGCATTGAACTCACCTTTTCTGTGTGCCACAGCAAGCAACCTAACCTTTACACCAGAAATGGAAATTGTACCCTGACTACACAACTGGTAGCCTAGCTTACCGGCATCCTCCAGAATAATCCTGCTCCAGGACAGCTGCCTCATGGCGACCCCCGTGTGGATGATTGGTTTGTTGGGGTACACCCTCAGACCACGGCCTGGGCGAGGGGGGAGTGGAGGAGGGATCTGGACTCCCTCACACTCAGCTGGGGAGACAGACGTTGCCTTCTTGCCTTGTCCATCTTTGTCCACTGGAGGGAGAAGACAGGTTCAAGAATTATCTGCAGGGCTGTGTTGCTTTTTGAAATTGTTGTTGATGGTGAGGTTGCTGTTGTTTTGTTGTTGTTGTTGATATTTTTGCTGCTGTTGTTGCTGTTGAGACTTGCAGATGTTGAAGTTGTTCATGATGCTGGCGTAGATCTTGTTGTAATTGTTGATGATGATACTTAGGAAGATGTTGTTGAAGGTAGTGGTGTAATTGTTATCACTATTGCCATTGCTGTTGCAGTTATTATTGACAGTGCTTTAGCAGTTGTTGTTCCTGATGTTGTTCCTATTATTGTTGATGTTGAAGATGGCGGTGTTACTATGATTTCTGATGGACCTACATTGTTTGTGGTTGTCGTACTGAATCATCATTTTTTATTGCTATTATTGCTGTTGTTGCCATATTATTATTGTTGTTACTGCTACTGTTTATTTTTTTTGTAATGTTGCTTGTGGGGAAACGATTTCTAACTCGTTTTTCAAGGAAATTTCTTTTAAATTCACTGATCTCCAAAGCACTGAGGTTCACCAATAGCTGACAAGGGTCGCACAGATAAAGAAAACATCTCAAGTGCTTTGGAGTGAGACAGTGAGCCACCCCATGAAGATTTCTCAAGTTGACAGTTGTGTAAACAGAATTATACTATCCCATTCATGGGATGCTTATTGCTGTGGCTGCCTTTTGTCCTGAATTGAACTTGTGTCTTCAGGGTCCAAGACAAAGAGTCTAATCATGACACTACAAGGCTTTAGCAAGCTTTTATCGAGTGTGTTGTATTCAAAGCTTCTACATAAAAAAATTACACTGACATTTAAAAAAAAAACCCAAACCTTTTCAAAACACATATAAACACCACACACACATAAACATGTGCACGCACGCACACACACACGCACACACACACACACATGACATGCGAATATATGCACACACACACACACACACACACATACACACACACACACACACACACACACACACCAAGAATGCTAAACATTAAAGTACTCTACCGAGTATGTTAAGCAGCGCAAGTTTCCCCGGCAAGACTCCATAGGGCGAGGACTTGCTCGAACTGTTCTCCAGCATCTCCGCAATGTTCCTCAACTCATGCATCTTGGCCATCAGTTTGTTCACCCGCCCTTCGTACGTCCTCAGAACACTCTGGTGTTCTTTTTTCATTCTCCTCATCTCCTCCAGGAGCTGTTTTTCATTGTCAGAGTAGGAGTAGGCGTTGGTGTCAGGGGGCCACCTTCGTCCGCCGCTGTCCATACCGTCTGACATTTCGTTCTCCGGCCACCGGGGTGGGCTGCCTGAGCTGACCACACTGTGGGGTGTCCGGACTGAACTGACCGCTGTACGGGGGTCACTGTTGTTGTTGCTGGCGGTGATGTTGTTGTTGTCACCACGGCTGCCCCAACGAGTTGCTGATGTCGGTTGTTGTGATGCTCCTGTCTTTGCTGAAGAAACAAGAGGTGGGACGGGGTCAGCATTGAGCCAATTGGCTATCATGTCTTGAGGGGCGGCAGAACTGGACGAAGGTGGGGGATGAAGATGTTGATGATGAGGTTGAGATGGCGTGACAGTTGTGTTGTTTCCTTCTCTTTTCCATTTCTGGGGGTGGTGTTGCTGCTGTTGCTGAGACTGAGGGGGGATGTTGTGGTGATGGGGGTTTTGATGATGATGATGGCTGTTGTGGTGACTGCTGCTGTTGCTGCTGCGGTGTAATGTATCAACAGTGGCAAAGTTGTTCCCTGAGTTCGTGAGAGTGTTGTTGTTGTCCACACTCTCTGTGGTAGCGACAGACGACACAAGGCTACCAGCTGTTCCTCCTGGAAGGTTCTGGGTGTTCTCAGCAATGTCAAGGTCACTCATACCGCCTCGAGGGGCCATGATGACGTCACGATCGTGTGAACCGGTCACGTGACTGCTAGATCTGCTGTCTTGGCTTACCATGATGGCGTTACTGTCTGGATGAATGTTCATGCCCGTGTTAGCTGATGAGCAAGCAAAAGGGGGAGGAAGAGGGTGAGGAGGTGACGATGTGGGTTCTGCCTCATGAGCACCGACCCGTCTTTGAGGGCTGACACTAAGTGTCTGGTAAGGCTGCTGCTGCTGATGATGTTTCTGCTGATGATGAGGTCGATGGCGATGATGAACAAAGTGAGCGTCTTGGCTCTGTAGTAGCTGTTGCTTGATGTGGGGCGGGGTTGACTTAGAGTTAGACGAAAGAAGAGGTTCTTGTGTGTTGTAGATATCTTGAGAGTCACAGTTTTGAACAGAATTTACCACATGTGCGCTATTTGTCAGGGTACCTTTCTGAGAATGCGGTGAAGATACCACTATAGATGGGAAAGGAGTTTTGGAGTAGGGACTCTCAGGATTATTCTCCGACACCTCTGAATGATGCACATGCTCTTTTTTCACACCTTTACTTGGAGATTTGTCTTTGTGTCTTTTGTTGCGTTGACCTTGACCTTCCACTGAACTATCGGTTGAGTAGTAGGGCGAACACTCTTTCTTCTTCAACTCAAGTGTGCTTGTGTGAGGGGTGCCCCCCGAACTTCCAGTCCAACCTCCTACATCACTTCCTGCAATGCCTTTTCTAGGTGAGTGTCGAGAGTGGTCGTAACCAAAGTCTTGTTCTAACTCCTGGAAGAAAGTGTTGTAGGAAGTGACAATGTTGTAAGCCTCGCTGCGGTTGAGAACTTTGTTTCGGATGTCCTGGATGAGTTCCCACTCCAGGTCCGAGCCCGGAGAAAGAGGGTGGTGGAGGCTGTTGGGGCTGGAGTACGTCACAGGATTGCTGGTGTGGGAAGAAGAAAACAAATGAGTGTGAGTAAATTATAGGATTCCTAATTCTTCTCTTTCTTCTTCTTTTCCTTCTCCTCATTCTCTTCCTTCTCCTCCTTCTTTTTCTTCTTCTCCTTCTCCTCCTCCTTCATCTTCTTTCTTTTCTCCTCCTCCTCCTCTTTTCTCTTTGTTTTGTTTGTTTGTTTGTTTGTTTGTTTGTTTGCTTGTTGCTGCTATTTTTTGTTCAGCCAGCAGTGGTCAGTATTGTAGACCTATGTCAAATGTAAGATATAATAAGAAATCAAAGTTTTATTCGTTGTCGTGGGAAATTTGACTTAAATTTAATACAAGACTTAACTTAATGTATCAACGTAAGATAAAATAGACAATATTAAACGAGTGTACAGATATGAGTTTGATGGAAGACAAAAGAGAAGCAGCACGTCGACACAAGGACGACTATTTAGAGCAAAGAAAAATCAATTTTAACACAAATGAACAACAGAGAAAATAAAATTTTAAAAATAGATTTTAAAAAAAAATGTTACCAGTCGCCCCCTCCAACCACTCACCAACTTAGTAGAGATATGAAAACAAATGTTTACCTGCACGAGGACGAAGTCGGGGAGGCTATAGCGTTACGACCTCGTTTTCGGATGACGTCATCGTCCTGCCACACATAGAGTTGTGCCGAATCTTCAAAGTCCTTGGCGCCAAATATTGTAGTGATGTGCCCGTCTTTGAACAGTCTCCGCGCGAGTTTGCAGGCCACAGATCTGTTGGGGAACCGTTTGGGGTGACTTTCCACTAACAGGGAGACTAAAACAGAACCCTTGAACACATTTCTGTTCCGAGATGGACCATGCCCGCGCCTTTTCTCCATCTGAAATAGTCAGAGAGAAACAATTTTTGGAATACTTAATTTGAGTCAATTGAGTTTAGTTTTACAAAGAGTTGCACGGCACTTGCAACACAAATAGGTTGTATAAGAGCCCAAGATTAGAGGTGTTACTAGGGAGTAACATGAAAACAAAAGAAGAAAAGACGATATACTTTTTTCGGGAAGAAATGAGCAAACACTACCAGATGACTCGTCAACCACCCACAGTAAAATATAGCCCATTGACTCACTTAAAACGATCGTTTAGTGGGGGATATAAAGCAAGACTGACAGACAGAAACAACACCTACCACGGGCACCCTGCAACGACCCGTTCATTATGACACGACAGACAGGCAGACAGACAGACAGACAGGCAAACACACAGACAGACAGACAGACAGACAGTCGGACAGACAGACAGACAGATAATTCTGTGTGTGTGTGTGTGTGTGTGTGTGTGAGAGAGAGAGAGAGAGAGAGAGAGAGAGAGAGAGAGAGAGAGAGAGAGAGATCAATTTAGGGAGAAAGGAGGGGGTATATAGCCTAATTACTTATTACATGTATTGTGTACTGTTGCAGGAAGTACAGGAAAAATCACGGCCTTTTATAAAACGAAAATCTAGTCTCCTCATGATACAAGTTCTTTAAACTCCAACGCCACCGCCACAACAGATTCAACTTTCCATTGAGTAATAATTGTAAAGACGGAGACGGGGTAAAATCCTTATCGGGTACCATGCAGTACTAGAGTCAGATCTGACAACTTCCAGGCCAGGGTACATGTAACGTTTGTCTGACAATCGCAAGATCCTTTTCGCTGACGCTAGGTGTGCAGAAGTGCTGGCGGTCCCCGCACGGGTCGTGTAGACAGATTTACATAAGGCTGTTAACGCTAATCACACTTTGCTGTCTTGGATAGGGGAAAAAATCAAACATTAAGGAAGGACGGTGTGTTTTTTCCTTTCTTTTTTTAGAGGGGAGGGGGG